CGATTTTCTACAAGCTGGTCTGAAGGTTCCGAGTTTCTCTTTTCTCTCTTCATTTTTTTCTGCTGATCAAACATGCATTTTTAGGTGACTGTACTGTTTGCGGACCTACATGCTTTTCTCGACAACATGAAAAGTACATGGGAGTTGCTCGAAAATCGTGTTATCTACTACGAGCACATTATCAAAGCTCTCTTATTAGCACTGAATGTTCCGATTGAGCGTCTCCACTTTGTGAGAGGAACTACATACCAGCTCTCCAAGTAATTGCTTCTTTGTAATCAAGTAAAGTCGTATTTTTCAATCCTTTTTTTTCGATTTTTGAACGGCTTTCTAATCGATTTTTTCAGAGAATACACCTACGACATACTCCGTTTGTGTAGCCAGGTATCACAACGTGATGCGCTCAAGGCGGGGGCCGAAGTAGTGAAAAGGGCCTTTCAGGTCTCACTTGACCGGTGAGTTAAGACTTCATTGGCTACTAATCCTTCTTTCAGGTGGAATCTCGTGGTTATTGTCAGGTCTTCTATATCCCTTACTGCAAGCCCTCGATGAGCAGTACCTAAAGGTTATCTCGTTTCCGCTTAATACTTGAAGAAATTACTAGTTTTTCAGATGTTTGTGAGCTATTTGTAATTTAAGCCATATATAGATTTTATTTTGGCGTGTAATTCAATGGGATATATTTCTTAAGGTGGATGGACAATTCGGTGGTGTTGATCAGCGAAAAATATTTATCCTAGCTGAAGAACAATTACCGAAATTAAAACTAGGAAAACGATGGCACTTGATGAATCCATGGTTACTGGTTTGACCGGCTCTAAGATGAGCAGGTACTGTTTCGCTACTTTTATGTGTTATTTTTTTACTTTGGATTTACATTCCATTTCTGCTGAATTTATATCTCTTTTTATACCCTCCATTCAGCTCGGAGATTGACTCGAAGATTGATCTCTTAGACAGTCATGATGTTGTCGAACGAAAAATTCTTGGTGCTGCTTGTTCACGACAGGAAACTGACAATGGAGTTTTGGCCTTTTTCAACTATGTGCTGATCCCTATTGTCAGCCCTAACTCTCTCGTTATTGCCGACAAGTAAGAGCGTTTTCATCATTTTGACTGACGGGATTTTTGATACATATACTTTCAGAGAGTTTTTCACTTACGACGAAATCAAAGAGTCATTTTTAAGTGGTACATTATCCGCTGAAGATTTGAAGAAGACTCTAATTGAATTTTTAAATGAGTTATTGGCAAAGGTTAGTGTAGTTCTCTTCTGCTGCACAATGGCTACTTCATAATAATTTTGTCTAGGTGCAAGATCACTGCAAATCCGATGTTGTGCGCGATGCCCTTGAAAAGGGTTATAAAGAAGTGAATGAAAATACGGCTGAGCCGAAGCAGCATCCAGTTGTGCAAGTCACCGACCAACAGCTTAAGCCTTGTTAAGCAAATTGTTGGCGACGACATGGTAATTTCTGTTGCATTTTATTCAAGCCTGTTATCGATTTGTGGAGATCGGCTTCGTAATTTTTACTATTCGAAATTTCCGCCAGTAAATTACTTTTTGAGCAGTTGTTTTTCAAAAACGTTGTGAGATTTAACTAGTGGTAGTGTTTTCCGTTTTTTTTTGTTATTTTTCGCTTTCTATGGAAGTTAGTTATCTTTGCAATCTTTCTTTGAATGGCGCATTTGATAAGCAACGAAAGAAACGCGCTTTTTTAGTTGATTGGGGATGACGACACCGCTTTGCGGTCGTGTATAGCAAATGGCAGAGCAATTCGTGTGACGTTCACCATCCATCCCAAAGGACGCTTTCATCTTGGTTTCCTCATGGGATTGCTGAAAATGAAGGTGTGTTTGCATGCTCTTTCTGTGATTTTTCTTTCATTACATTAGCTAGAACACTTCAGTCATTAATCGAAAGAGGGATTAACATCGAAGGAATCGTTCTAATTTCCGACATGGAAGCCTTCCTGGATAACGAGAAGGTAGCTGCACTCGTTTTACTCGTTATTCTTACAAAATTTGCTTCTTAATCTTGTGCGCATTATAGGTGTCTTGGAACGCTCGAGACGGTCGGAGTGAGTACTTCTATCAGATTTGCTCCTTCTTCATCGAGCACCTTGGTTTGAAAAATAGCGTCAGGGCTATGAAATCCGCTGACATCGACTCCATTTTTTCAAAGTAAGCAGTTATACGTGAAAAGAAGCGTTTATCTCTTCAACATCTGCAAATTCTTTAGAGATTATGTGCTAAATATGTACAAAATGGCCTCAGCCGTTACTCGCGACGAGACGACCGTTTGTGAAGGTGTGATTTATTAGTGTTCATTTATAGTTGTAGGTGTTTCTTTTATCCATGTAGTTTGATAATTGGTTTTTATGGAAAATTTTAAAACTCGACATTGTTAGGAACGTCTTTGTCTGGCAATTTGGTTCCGCTATTTTACGCTCTCAATCATCAGTTACTCGGAACTGACCTCGCTATTATGGGTGAAGATTCAATCAAGATTGCTAATCTTGCGGTTAAGGTATTTCATCGTTAATATTTTCAATCGTTCTTCTCCTGTCTCAAAAAAGAAAATGTTCTTAGTTGTGGTCCCGAATGAGGGTACAACCTCCAACACAAGTAGCATTTTCGCTGCTACCGGGATGTGATGGAAAGAAAATGTCATGTTCAAATCCCGACTTCCTTTTGGAGGCATTTGACACACCAAAGCAAGTGAAAGTCAAGGTGGCACGGTAAGTTCAATAGTGTTTACATCTATTTTCCGCAATTTGAACACTGTTTAGGTCTTTCTGTGAGCCGCAGAACTTGAATGGAAACGTTGCCATGATGCTATCCCAACAGTTCATTTTCCCGCTCCTTGGCTGGATCAAGTTTGTTTATCAAATACTTTTGTCTCTTTTCCTTTATTTCCTTCTTCTGCTTGGCTCCCACTGTAGGTAAGATTCCATGCATTCTTTTTGATAACATTCTCCCCAAGGTGCAGCGCAGATGCTGGAATTTTAGAGCCGTACAGAGATTATGGAATTCCTACTTTTTTTCTAATATATAGCAAAACTCGTTAATGTTTCTCAGCTACTGATGCTTTTTTCACATTTATAAAGTTTTATCCGAATATAGATCGCAGCGATCCCTCATGTATATGATACGGTGGAAACTTGGCAATTACTGTTTCACATGACTGTGCTGATTTGTTATGCAAAATCCGTATTTCTATGCTCTCCGCGCATTTCATATACCTACATATACGCTAAAGGAGGACTTCCTGTATTGTCAGTTAAGGTATGGCAGCATCCTGGTCCAATTTTGACTTCGGCATGGCGTTTTTCCTAAAAGTACCAAGCGTTCCCAGTACAGCATCAAGACCCTTTGGTGCCATTGTAATTTCTCATCGGCATCAAACCCTTAGCATGTTCGAGAGCTGAAGGGTCCTCGATCATTAATAGCGTTCATTAAATAGCGTCAAACAAGAGTTATTATACTCTCAATCAGATCTCTTTTTTTGAGCCTGACTTCTTTGTGCAGCCCCGTCTCCTGCATCCCGGAACTTCGAAATTTGTTTTCGTTGGAAATATTCTGTCATGTATTACTTTTTACAATTCAGTTACAATTTCAGGTCTTGATATAGTAAGGAGTCCAGAAAATGGCGGGAATGTAAGTGTGACATCATACGAAGAACTGGAGCACGAATTTATGCGGGGTTCAAATCCGGATTTCCCTCTTCATCCTGGTGATTTGAAGAATGCTGTTGTAGGATTCATTAATAGGTTCGCTTTTTATTTTATACTTTTTGTTCTCTGTAAAAGTCTTCTTGTTTGGTCTTGTTGCCATACCCCTTTGTTTAGTTCCCACATCTCGAACGTTGTATTAGAATTTTCTAAAATAGCATGCAGACCTGTGAAACTACAGAGCAGTGAGATCACGGTAGAAGGAAAATGGGAACGAGATGGGTCTTGGGCGGGAACAACTAGTGAAAGTGGAATAGATGGCAAAAAACGATAAATAGCGAAGTTTTGAGGGAGTGAGGTATTGGTAGGCAGGGTAGTGAAGCAGTTTTGTGAAAAGGAGAAAGTGAGAAATGGGATGATGAACAGGCGATATAGAGAGATAGAGAAAAAAAGAAGTCTGCTCAGGCATTGACATTGACCTAGCAATTCTCAAGGCGTATAAGTGCAAAAGGTGACCTAGAGTAGGCCCACTCTGGTGATGGTCAGAGTCTTAACAGAGAACTAACGAACATTTGCAACATATTGCAATTACCTTCGTAATAAAAATAATTCTGTGTCATTTGGGTTTACAAAATCGATAGTGATGGGGTTGTAGGTGCCTGTTGCCGGCTAGTGGTGATAGAGATATCTCGATTCTCCAAATCGAGAGATACTATGTCTGGCAACTATTTTATGGCTCGGAGAGAGCTCTGCAATATCGTATTTTTTATCAGAATTGGGGGAGATCTCGCAGTAGATGTATCTTTCTATATATTCAGATTCTTCGATCCTGTTCGAGAACGATTCGCCTCCAGCCAAGCTTCGTTGATAGCTGCCGCTTTTCCCAGTGCTAAGAAAGGGAAGAAATAACAAAAACCTAATCTGATGACAAGCGAATTGTTCATATGAGCTTATTTAATCACGTTCTAGCGAAATATGTTACAGTATCTAAATCCATTTACCACGTTGTGCAACGTTTTTCTCGAATAGTCATGGTGTTGGGTGCAGTCTATAAGAATTCCTGTGATTGATTGTTCCATAATTTGTTCCCTGTTCTCCAATCTTTATAAATACAGTGAAATAACAGCAATGAGCACTGAAAAACGACCCATTGGTGCTTGTTGGTTTTTACGCTGAACGTTGTTGTTATCTAAAGCTATTACATTAATTGTTTTTGTTGGGATTTATCGTGTCTTGCAATTTTGAAATAAAAAGAATCGCATTAGATCCATGTATATTGATGACGAGTACTGTACATTTTTCAACGAACAATCTGGAGGGCAGAGGCGGAAGTGGTGTAGTGGCAAGTGGCACGCTTACCACGCGAGCGGTCCGGGGATCAAATCCTGGGTCGTGAGTCGCCCGGGCCAACCAAGCCTTCCATCCCTCCGGGGTCGGTTAATTGGTACCAGACTTGCCTGGAGGATAAAACACTGACTACTTGTACATCGGCTGGCCCCCGCAAGTCACTGCAAAGAGGACAAACCGCGTTCGAATGGCACTACGAAGTCTGAATAGTCGTTGAATGTGGCGCATCCCGGAAAACATGAGTTGATGAAGCGCCGATGCTTCTTTCCATCATTTCTTTGAACATTTTGCAGGTAAATCTCAAGAAAATAAAGCAAATGCCTGAAAATGTCGATGAGGTGCAACTACACTTCCTCATGACTTAATTTGTTAGCATATTGTTCACCGTTGAAGCTTGATGTGCTCTAGTAGCTATCTACCTTTGGTCTTGCTGAGAGGTCCTATGAAATGTCCTGAAATTAACAGCCAATTCTTGGTGAAAAACGTGTTTTATGAGTCGGTGGATGGGTCTGTAAAGGTCTATGAAAGAATGGCAGAAGTGGCCCAGGTCAGGGAAATACTTTGCAAAGTAAATGGATCTCATTAATAACTGATTTGCGATGTCTGCTGGAGGAGTGGGTTTAGGAGATGGTTTGCTTGCTACGGAGAAATTTTCGCTTTCCCATTCAATTTCTACACTCGATTTCGGCAGACGAGAAGAATCGAGTGCAGAACCCGGCACATCATCAAGAGACGACTGCCACGTGACGATACGAGCATATTTCCATGGTTACAAGGCTTCTGTCAACCAGGGGTGAGAGTGTAGAAGGAAAAGCAGACGTTCTTTGTGGTAGTGGGACTAAGCCTTTTTAAAGGAGGTAAAGAAAGCGGAGATTCTGTAATAGTGCGCTTGTGTGAGAGCTCCCAGACAGCACAACAAAACGCTGAATTGCCTAGCCTCACGGTTGACAGATGTCCGGAGACCATTTCTCATTATCAACCTGTCGTCTCTAAATGGTGTGTGGTTCTGCACTCGATATCTCCTCCTCTCCGAATTGAAGGGCAAAGGATTCCTCACTACCGATAACGATTGCATCTAGAACACATTCCGCCAACAGTCTTCTTTCATTCCTCCTTCTTCTTCCTTCTCTCTTGATTGTGTCCTCAAACCTTTGGTGATTTGGTGACTCAAGAGCAGACGCATGGAGCATCAGTAAGCTGGTCGGTAGACCTAAGTGCACCTACAATAAGTTCTACCTAAGTACGCATGATCGGCTAGCCTAGTTATGAGGCTGTGTCATCAATTTTCCTACTCGATCTGCCAGCCGCCTACGACTGCCGAAATTCTACCAGTGGCCCTTGTCCGGGTGGCACTGACACTACCTCTCCTTTCACCTCTGCTGAGACTGTCACTTCGATTACAACTTACCACGGTTGCCTCAAACTAGCGTCAATAGTTTGATGAAAATATGTGCCAGCATGAAACTACATTGCCACCAACTTGTTATCAGCTAAGTCAAGGGTCGAAGGAGTCGAGAGTGAGCCTCCTCGTGGCCAAAGGCCGTTAGCCACTAGGCATGCAGCTGCCTAGGTTGCCCATCCTTTTGAAGCTTGCCTCCGACCTGTTGCGCTGCTCCGTCAGTTACAACATTCGTTCAGTTTGAGCAAACGAAGCAAAGAAAACCCGATTCGCATGAAGCCACTTAACCACAGCATCAGCCTCTCCGGCTCTTTTAAAAAAGGAGGAGGCGGAGCTGTACGAGTTGTACAAACTTGCTTGCTCCATCGCTTCACCAACCCGTACCTATGTAAATTCGCTACGCCGTAATTCACGCTGCGTATCACGGGATGCGCGCAAGGCACCTCTTCCATGAGCTAACATTACTCGCCATAAGTTCAGTTTGAGTTAAAGCTTTAGCGCCATTGCGAGAGTCGAACCTTAAGGTAGCATGGGAATCGCCACAGTAACTTATTTGTTTACGAAGAAAACAAAAGTACGAAGAATTTATCTCATACACAGTTTACAAGAATTAATATCACAGTTAGGCATAAAGCACTACAACCCGATACAGTACTAGGGAACGACGATGCCAAAACCTTGTCACATGAGCGATTATTGGTCGGAACCACACATTGGTTATCGACAACTGTTCAAATTGCAGTACCAAAAAATCATATAAAGCAGGAGATCAATTGGTTATAAGCGACATGTACGCCTCGATGTAAGTGAATGGCAAAAGGAATTGCACAAGTATTTCTATTTTCGCCCTACTTAATTTCTGATTTCTCATCTATTTACAGAGGTTTCAAGAATACCATGATGGCATCAAGCCTATATACTTCTTCTTGCGATAGCTTCCGATAGAAATGGTCGCGTCTATCTCGAAGATCTTTCAATTCCTGCAAAACCTTTTTTAGACAGAACATTTCTAGCAAAAGAAATGTTTTGCTATCACCTCAATGCAACTGTCAGCCTTCTTCTTTCCTCTCTTCAGCAGCCACATCCACCCCAATGGAACTTACTGGAGCCCTAGCACAGTTTCGCAATGAATCTATGAGACCGGTGGCAATGCTCTGTAGAGACGACAATGCGACTTGACGGCAGGATTCTGGCAATGTGGTGTCTTGCAGGAATTCTGAAACAATCAGTAATCGAAATCACACCTAATATAGAAAAAACGAAAATTTTGGGAATCTAGTGAATGCTGGGAAATTATCGAAAGAAAAGTACTCGGCT